AAGCCGAAGATTTGCCAGAAATTCCTCTGAACCCTCACGAACAGGCCATCCGGGCTCACTTGCAGGATGATGAGGAACTACCTCGAGAGTCGCTGGACCTGCTGCTGAAGAAGTTTTGGACAACCGAACCCTACATGTCCATCGGCATCATCCTGGAGGGCTTTCCACGTAACGGGGAAGACGTGACCTACATGCAGGAGTCGAACCTCTTTCCCGACCTCTGCATCGCCTTCACCGCGGAGGCCGAGGAGATTGTACCGCGTCTGTTGCCGGAACGCTTGGTGAAGTGGAAGATAAAGCAGGCGCGCATCGAGGCCAACAAGAGAATTGAAATTGAATGGAAGAAGGCCAAGCGAGTGAAGCTCTATGAAGCCAGGAAAAAGCAGATCATGACTGAACTTGCCGTCAAGAGAAAGGCCAAACTTGTAAGCCATCTACGTTACTAACTAAATAGGAGATTGCGACATAAGCAAATCTTCAGAGTTAGAATCAGAGGCACGATATTGCTGTTTTGTTTATTGACAGTCTGATTGAAAAGCAATTTTGCATGGGTGCTTCCGAAAATGTTCGCTATAACGCTCACGCCAGTCGCCTAAAATATAAAAACAAAACACTTTTTAATGGACAATTTTTCGGTGGGATTAAGCCAATGAGAATGAGAAAAAGTTTCCCGCTGCCTGTCTATTGACTAATTTCAGGCTTGTCAGTCGTCATCAGCTGGCCATTCCCAACTCCGTATATTGCACCACCCGATGTCTGAGAACGCAATATTATTCATTTTTTCTCAGTAGCGACAACCGTATTGTAGAATGCAAATTCTTTCGTTGATAAATCACACTGTGGAGGACATGCACGAGATATAATTTCGTTCTGTGTCCCTTTCTTGATAAACGTTTTTTTCGAAATACCGTAGCACCTAACCAAAACCAGTTCGAAGCCTAGCTTTTTTGCGTTTATTAGTTTTGCGTCGTCGGCCACTTAGTTTCTTTGAATGAAATACGGACTATTTGGGAGGAACAGCTCGATTTAAGAGCACATTTATACAACAAGTGACTTTTGCCTAAATTTAAGTAGAAATTTCTTAAAAGCTTTCGTCAGGGCTTTTGTTGGAAACGGTATTATTTTTGCAACCCCACCCATAAAATGAAACGCAAGGTTGCCTGTAAAAGGACGCAAGGCAATGTTTTCTTATTGGTTGGGCGGGTGGGGACGCCGCGACACGGGAAATTATCCGTACAGGCCTTTGTTGAATGAAAATGGTTCATAAAATATGAACAATGTGTCGTTAGCTCTTAAGCTTCCTTAACACTCGCTATACGTTTTCTTAGAAGCGTTCCTTTGAAATATTTGGCCCAAAATGTCTCTCTTCCTAGCTAAAAATCGATGTTCGTTGACCACTTTTCGACATACTCTATAGGAGCCTTTGTACAGAAGTCTCCAATGACCATGCAACGTTCGTTATGAAATTTGACCTGGCATTTTAGCGTATATTTAGTAACACTATTTTGATTCATTCAGTTTATTGAATTCTGCGAAAGCCTTTTTCTTAGTTAAATCGTCATTTTAGTTAGGTTCATTAAGATAAATGGCCATCAATTTTGGGGAAATTGGGAGTAGTCTCATATAGTTCACTATAGTTCAGTATATTTAGGGTAGTAGGCAATGCCTTTGAAGAC